GAGGGGAGAGGGGGTTGAGGTAGGGCTACGCTGCGTTACGGAAGTCATAGTTTAGTGTTACGCAATGTTCATTTTTCTCTTTAAACTTTTTCAACATTTGCTGAACAAATTCTTTTATTCTGTATTATACTAAAATATATACAAATTAAATTAAAAAGTTATGATGTATAAACTGTTACAATAAAGGTATCTATATTTTTAGCAATGATGTATTGGTTGAATCTGTTATATTACGAAGGAAATATTCAAAACTGATCTATAGTATATTCTAGAATCCAATTAAATGAGCGCAGTAGACTCTGCATCCATGCGCCATCCACGACGGGCGTGGACGGCTTGTCAGAAATCGTCTCGCGTCCGCGTCCTTCATCCATAAATTGTCCTACTCTCCTTGTTATACAAGTTCGCAGCGCCAACTATCTCTAACTTTAATTAAAATAAATTTTAATGTGTAACACAAATACAAATAATACGACTGTTTCAGCTTTATAATTTGATTTTTCATATTGTAATGGGGGATCTTGTCGCAAGCGTTTCGTAATTGTTACTTCATTATGTAAATACTACTCCACTCCGAAAGATGGCTGCCACCTAGCCGTACCCTGCATGTTTTTCAGTTTGCGTATTTTTTCCGACCATGTTGTGAACATTTGTAAGTGATCCACGTTGCTTGGGCAGTAAGTATTTTTAATTTTATTTATTTATTTATTATTTATTTCATATTATTGGTTATTTTTTTCACAAAATAATTCACTGTATTTCTTTTTGCTCCCTTTATGTTAATTTTCCAATTTTCTTCTCCTTGCTAGAGACCCACGGATGATGGGAAAAGTGTTTTCCCGAAAGTTAAATCTGGGAATGTAATAATTAATAAAATTATTATACTTTTTTGTGGACGATTATTTCCTCCCATTATGCATTACCACAAGATATCTGCTATTACCATGGAATTTATTTGAGGTCGATTCCAGCGCGTGTTTCAGATGCGTTACAGGGGAGAGGGGGTATTCAAATTACTCCAACTTTGCGTTTCGTAATTTATGGATGGGCTCTAAGAATTAATACAGGTCATATGCGATGGTCAGTATAACTAGAAATCTGAAAACCGGAGCAACAAAATATGTTTTTCAAAGTATCGAGGTAACGAACATCGAAATGTAAATAAAAGGGAATGTGTGTATGTGTGTTGCACATAGCAAAACACACACAATGCAAAAACTACTTGACCGATTAATATTCAAATTTTCACTTTGTTCTTATTATCAATGGAAATGTTTAAAAAAGTGGTGTAAATTAAATCGGACATGTGGGGGCGTTATTGATAATTTATTCGTGTATGACGACTCAAGTGCCTCTTAACTCTATGCAACGCGCCGCACAGCCTAGGGTTAAGTGCGTATTCATTATATTACAATATTCTGTCCCTGCAATTATGAAATATCGGCAGGAATTATTCTTCAATCTCGGACAAATATATAAATTACTCGAAGATTAAGTCATAGCGAATGCATGCCCAAATTTGAGGGAGAACGTTTTAATAATGGGATACTTCACCACCATGTCCAATTGAACTTTGGGAGGTTTACACGTTAAAAGGCCTTTTCCTTCTTTAGATTATGTACGCAACATTTATGAAACATAAAGCTCTTGTATATTTTCTACTAGAATATTCGATTTTTTACTGTACGTCGATCATTATATTGTAGACCAACTTCTTGCATTATAGGCCACAAGTCAAACATTTTTTTTGTGAAAAGACAGTTTTTTTTTAATTTTTCTCATAAAGCAGCACCAGTGCAACCTATTATGAAGACTTCATATTCCGACGAATATTTACCGTGATTCCGTCAGCAGTTGATTGAGAGACCAATCTAGTGCTTTTTCCGTTAAGTTTTGAACATCCAAGTAAACTGCGTATCCTCTTTCCTCTGCTTTCAATGCGTTTTGTTTCTGGTCAGCCCAAAAGGGTATTGCCAGCAGAGGAACTCCGAAATAAGTTGCTTCTTGGGTGCTGAGAAGACCGCCATGAGTGATGAATAATCGAACATTTGGATGACCTGCGGGAAAAGAAAATTAGTAGTATTTTCAGATATTTCACACTCATCAACTTTATTGTACTACAATTACCTACAATTGTTAGGAAAAGTTAAACATCAGTCTTATATTGAGTGTGAAGTCGAAGTAAATGCACTGCATAGTTAATTGTTAGAATTATTTAAAATTTGTCTAGATTGTCCTGACAAAATGATTAAGAATTAGCTCACATTTGATCACTACAAGGCCCTCTTGTCTCAATAACTTTTAGTTTCTTTCGTACATTCGAAACTGCCAAGATATGACGCCTATCGAATGCAAATTTAATCTGCAGGTAATTTAATTTGACCCAAATAAAAGGAAGTTTTTTCTGTTAAGGAAGAAGTGAAAACTAACATATTTATTCTCAGAACTCTTCGACTTTTCTTTTCTATGCCTTGTATTTCTAAGCTTCTCTTCGGATCATTGGCGAATCATCAGAAGGAGGAGGAGCGAAGGAATTACACATTACATAAATTCTTCTCCAAAATGTAGTTACCAAATAATATATTTGTTTTGATGTCTAAAGAAAATATATGATTTTTGAGTTGATAGTTATGATAATTTAAAATAATACACTTTTAAACTACGCGTACTGTTAACTGTACTGTACTGTACTGTACTGTAACTGTGTAACTCTACATTATTACATTTGTGATTACAAGTATTTCAAATAAAGTCTGATAAAGTCTGATAAAGTTTTTCGAAAACTCAAAACTCTTTTTCGGAAACACACAAACGCCATATTTTCAGAAACGGCTCAGAATTTGTTCTTCAAACTTCTTGTAAGAATAGTGCTAAATTAATTGTGATGATGATATAAAAGCTATTTTGCAGTATTCTTTTGTTATTGTTTTTTCAAAAATTTCATAATTGTATTTTGTTACATCACTCTCACATTGTTTATTTTTACATCGCCGGTGATTTGTATACATAACTGCATTTGTGAGTACATTAGCATCAGTTCCTTATTTGCATTGCCTTACAAATATTCTAGAAAAAATGTTTGCAAAAAGTTAACACATCAAAACTACAAAATTGAAGATAGAGATTTTTGTTTTAAACAAAGTCTATTGTTTCACCTCTTTAAAATATCGGTCAGCTCTTTTAAAAGGTTGTGTACAATTGTTTGAAGAAACAAGTAGTTTTCGCGTAATTTGTGCTTGAAATTAATACAATTTGTAGAAAAAAAAGATTTAACAAAAATCGCTCCAAATTTTTTCCCGGGTGTAAAAAAAGGGTCATCTAAAGGGTCGTTTCATTTTGTTGAACTCTCTGAATTTTCGAAAATTGCATATTAAAAAATAATGCCAGAAAGTAAGTGCTAGTTTTATCTTATGACGTTGTATTACTTACAATTTTAATATATTGTCTTTGATTTTTTGTTTTACAAAAATGGAAATATTTTCAAATCGATGCGATCGATTTCCATCGAATAAACGTTTGATGAAATGGCGGACTAACATTACTGTTTTCAATAGAGGAGAGTGTAATACCAAACACGCCTTTTTCGTTTCAAGTTCCCTCACGTTTGTCGAGTGAATGACGCTGACCCGATCAGTTTTTTTGGAATTTTAAAATTCTCACAAATGAAGGAAACTAATAAGATAATGTTCTTGTAATTTTTTAAAACATGTGTAAGTTATTATTGTAAGTTGAAAGGGAAACAGAATTGACGTTGGAACTAATAATGAAACGGCGAAATTGGATACTTCATGAGAAAAATGACACATTGTACTATATCCCCTGCTTTTTTTAAATATTCTATCTTTTTTAAGCAATCATTCAAACAAGCTAATCTTATTATCACTTGAACCTTTCAATAGACATGAAAATTATCCAGAATATTGGTCTCTATATACGTGTTTTATCATTTTAAAAAATAAACCGTATTAATTAAGCAAAATCGTTTAAAAGTAAAATTGTGAGTATGACAGTATTTAACAGTTTTATTTTCTCTCCAAAATTTTGTCCCACGCTCATGCGTGAGAACCCCTCTCCCCTCTCCCTCTCTCGCTCTAATAAAGCTCTATTTAAACACTCGTTATAAATTAGAATAAAATATAAGCATACCTAAGATATCAGTTTGTGGAAGCCACTTGCTGAGGTAGACGTTTTTGGGTTGCCCAGGAAGAGAATCTGCTTCCCATTTCCATAGTACTTTCTGTTTCAATTTCGAGAAAACTCTGAGGAAATTTGCGCGGGTACTTTCCGGCATGTCCACGCTTCGAATATTTGAACCTAAACTGAAATATATGACTCCGTCTTTTGCATCATCTAATATCTTCTGCAGTTCCTGGTAAAAACATATGAGCAATCAAATTTATACATTGCTTTTATTCATTAATTATATACCTAGTCTTCAACTGGTAAGAATGACATTGATGTTTTATTTGACTATGTTCAACAGATTTTCTTCAAAATTACCTCTCAAAGGAGACATACCTGGGGAAGTTTTTTTGCTTCTTTGAGGTGCATACCCCCGACTTCTACAGTATTGGGGGTGAGAGGCCTTGGAAAATTGATGGAGACGTGACTATTTGTGAAAAGAAACGACGCGTTTGTCTCTATTTCAGATATGCTGGGTAGATTTGGATCAGGAAAATACTTTCTCATGAGCGCTTCCATTTTTGGTAGGGTATTCCATTGGCGTTCCAAATCCAAGAACGTGTTCGTCAAGGTGTTAATAAGTCTCTTTCGGAGAATGTCATTTCATCGGAATAATCCAGCATCACTTCAGGAAAATATGAATAGAAAAATGGATTTCCAACTCCGTCTCCCATCAATTTAGTGATTACATTAGAACTAATCTGAATAAATGGAACTTGAAACTTATGAACGAGCCCATAAGTGCATTCGGTAAAGAAGGGCTCGTAAATAATAAGATCAAAATTTTCATCAGTATCGTGAATAAGATCTTGTACACCTGGCTCGTTGAGGAAGAATTCACATAGTTCTAAACTCAATGATCTCATCATCAACATGAAAGCATGTATATTGACCTTGTGGTTCTCAAAAAAGTTCATTGTAGGAGCTCCTGCAAAAAAAACCTTCATATTATTTATCTTCATTAACAAAATTGAAGTATCTGTGATTTCAAAATAACTGTCTTTCTATAAGCTCGAATGGTTATTTATACGATAATTGAACTACGGACACACTCAATTACAAATATTTCCTTATTCTATACTATTCGCTATACCGTTACTATTTACTAAATGTGAAACTATTATGTGCTTATTTTTGGTTTTGTTCATATCAACATTTCAATGATAATCATTTTATATTCTAGAATCAGTTATGATAAGGCGGCGTGCATAATACTATGGCTCCCCTTGCATTACAGTAATTACCCTAGTCGTGTTACCAATTTTGACATATTTTCACCAGAAGCCCTCTACCTTGCTGGGGATTAATTTTCCAAGTACAACTGCAAACTTACACCAAAAATAAATGATTTCGTGACATCCAAGGCGAAAGTACCAACACTTGTCTACACCGTCTTAATCGGAAATAGCTCAAATACTCTTTATCAGCTCATTTTCTTAATCTCGGAAGATCATTCCGAGATTCGAGGTATTTTGTCTGATTATCTCAAAGTGCAAACACTGAACGTTCAGGTCGAAATCTAGATTTGTTTGCTATTTAATGTCGCATCTACATCTAGATCATTAGCGACCACTATTGCATTTGACGGTATGTTAAATGTGAAGATGACATGATGTGATGATAGAGGGGCGAACCAAATACAACCAAGCCCGAGACGGGCCTCGAACCCGCGATCCTTCGGTCCGAGTTCGCTATGACACTGCCTTAACCATCTCGACCACCGTACCGGCGAACTCTAGAATGTTCCCTGAACTTTCAAATGGTCTCACTGTAATGCAGTTTGTAACACACACGGGTCAAACCTTTCTCTTTTCTGTTTTTCCTTGATGTCTCTCAGCAACGTTCTACTCATTGATTTCTTCTAAGACCACTTGCTGTCCTCGTGACAATGGCAACTTTCTCCCTCGCTTGTCTTTTATCACGATTGTTGGTTTGATAATGTTGATATTCTACCCAATATTTCAGTTGCACCCTAACAACTGTTGTTTACTTGGCCGTGAATGCACCACAGAATGGCAATCCATGTGAGTCATCAGACACCGCATCGACAACAACCCAGTACATTGAATTATTTATATAATTTTGACTACTTTTTCCGGTTCATTAGAATCTCTATAAAAAAGAAAATAATGTTTGACGGCCCACACCTCCTAGACATCTTAACAGATTTTGATTATTTTAGAGACATAATTAGATTCTGACCCAACTAAGGATCGTCCCATATCACTTTAATTTTCGGATGTCATTGTATGGGGTTATCTATCTTATTAATTTCTAATGCGCGCAGAAATTGAAAGAAAATTATGCAGTCACTGATCAGGTGAGAAATATCTATAAATTCGTTACTCAGGAACTCGGAAAAAATCCAAAGCATTGAAACACTTTCGATTTTAACTCAATCATGCAAATATTGGATTGTGTTATTCCCCCTATTTTTTACTGGAGTATACCAATTGGATTCTAATTCTCAGTGCAGCACTGTTTACGTCACAGCCTAGTCATATAACAGCGAAGCACGAAGGAAGGCTCCGCTCACCATTAAATATTTGCTATTCTGGAACACGAACTGTTGCGTTTCGGTGTTGTGTTTTGGAACACGAACTTTTTTATAGTTTGCACTTACACACTGAAGAATGTTATTATAGTATTTATGAAAGCTGTTGGTGAAATATTGAATTTATTGCAGTGCTATACGATAGTATTATATTTGTTGTTTCTCATTAGTGCGCATGTTACTTTTTGACAAGTTATTTTGTGTGATTTTGATCAGCAACAAGCTGCTGCAATCGCAAGTGGCTCTGCAACCTTACTCGTTCATATAAGTCGTTTACTTGGACCTATCATGCATCCTATTATCTTGTTTGATTAAGGAACTATCCTACATGTCCTGGGCGTGTTGATGGGGTCTGACCTTTTTGACAACATTCATACTTGAGTTACCCGTCTAACCAAACAAAAGAACTTAAGAAAAAAGAGAAAGACAAAGAAAAAAGAGAAGGAATAAAGAAAAAAGAGAAGGAAACAGAGGCACAAAGACATAGATAGATAGATAGATAGATAGATAGATAGATAGATAGATAGATAGATAGATAGATAGATAGATAAATAGATTTCTGTCTGCCCTGGGGTTCCTCGGCACTTGGATTTCACGTTTCCTCGGTGACCGCTGACAACTTCTGCCTTCTACTAGGAAACAAACGAAGAATATGTTGTCTAGACATATTTAATTATTCTATAATCGTTTTCTTGTTTTTTATCAGTTTTATCAGTGGAAGACAGCATCTACGCCGTCTCTCCTGACGCTAAGCCACTGTCTACAACAACATTTTAATATAACAAAAAAGCTTTCGGTTGGATGAACAGTCTGGCTCATAAAAATCTACCTGGCCTAATAATGGCAGACGTTTGCATTGTGATGGAGAAAGCTTCTAGTCGAAAAAATACGTATTGTAGTAGCGTAACTTCTTTTTCTTCTTCTGTTGGAAAATCTTTCATTATAAATTTCCAGTCCACACGTTTATGACAAGTTCAAAATGCCATACCTCCTTTATTTAAGAAGTCTCGAATGGTGATGTCCTTGTAATTTTTCATCGGCGTTTTTCGTGGAAAAGCGCTAATCACTGTTACCTCGTGGCCTCTCTTGGCCAGTTCCTCAAGGAGAGGGCTGAAGGAAATAAAATGACTCTTCCCTGGAAACGGAAACATTGATAAAATTCGTGCTCCATCTGTGTAGGGTCCCATCAAAAACGCGACTGCTGCACAACATGTGAGAAATCGGAGCATCTGCAAGAGAAGAAACACATTTAAATAAGTAAAGTGAAATAAGTAAATACGTTTATTGTAAAATAAGTAAACCATTAATACTACTCCCATGCATTATTAACATCTTCAAGTCTTTGCAAAGTCAGTAATTATCGTAACAATTAATATATTGTTTAATAATATTTTTATTTTGAAATTTTCTAGTAAATTGGAAAAGACGTAACTTTGAAAACATTTAGTATTGAGTAGAACTTTAAACACGAAACACATTTAAAAGATAGAAAACTTTTGTTTAAAAACAGCTAAATTTCCTGAAAGTGAAGTCTCCGTCCTATTGCCAATAAATTGATTGGAATCAAATTCAGGGATAGTTTTAATCGTTTCTAAATTGGAATTTGAGTTAGTAGGCGGGATATTTATTTGACCATTTGAAAATGAAGGAAGTATTCAAGAAAGTAAAATTTCCTTCAAACTGATTTTCAGACTTAAATGTATTATTATTATTATTATTATTATTATTATTATTATTATTATTATTATTATTATTATTATTTGCGTGAAATGATCACGATGTACTTTCTATTCAGTGGCTCAGTCATATTACATCCCGGAGAGAGATTAACGGGATCATTATAGGGATTAGCGTTTTGGCTGTATACCTCGGTAAGGCAAGGTTTGAATTATGAGGTGATAGTATGAAGATGAGTGGTGACCGTGGGCTCTTTCAAGTATCCCAGCAGTAAGACTGAGGGAAACCACGAACCCTCCGGCTCGGGAATCGAACCTGGACCTCTCGACCGCAAAGACAGGCATTAAGCACTAAACCACTTACCTCGGATTATTGTTGTTATTATTATTATTATTATTATTATTATTATTATTATTATTATTATTATTATTATTATTGTTATTGTTGTTAAGCGAAATTTTACAGTCTGGTTTACAGTTTCTCGCTCACTATACGCCACTGCGTTTCATTCCGCATTCCGTCAGGCATCTTCTATTCCCCTATTTTTCATTGCCGCTTCGATGACGGCCTCCCAAGATTTCCTCGTTTATCCGTTTTCTTCTCCCGAAAGAGATCCTCTCAAAGACTACTTTTGCTATTCTGTCGGAGTGCATTATCATTAGATGGCCATACCACTGGAGTTGTTGGTATGTTACAGGCCTGCACAGCATTTTGCACTTTCGTTGATCTCGAGAGCCGCGCATGAGGCACTCGAGTGCAAATCCAGGAAGCTAAGAAGGGTGGGGATGAGACCTATTCCAGGAGTGGAGACCACCAATGAGAATGCGAAATTCGAAACGTGGCGCGGAGATTAAAATTGCGATCGGCGACATGACGGACTGTTACATTCAGTTAATTTGATCTTGTCTTTTGAGTAATATTTCAAATGTTAATAGACGTCAATGTGAAATATGAAACTAGAACGAATTAGACATACCTAGATATTTGGTTTGGACACCAAGTATTACAATAGCTTGTATGGCTAATACTGTTATTCACCTTGCTACCAGGTAATCACAAATTTATTGCGGTACTTAACACAAAATTGTCATATTGAATTGTTTTTATTTGATGATTACAGTAATCAATTATTTTCGTTAGTTATTTGTAATTTATTAAGACAGTTATATAAAAAAATCTTAAAAAATCTTGATTACTTTTTGCTCTAATTTTTAACAAGAGTACATCATCTATTTCTTATATCAAATCGACGAACAATATTTATTCATAATCGTTTTACGACGTTGAATTATGTAAGGAAGCCCGAAAGGTCTTGTATCTGCAATGTTAAATTCAAGGAACATTATTTTCAAAACTATGTACACTAGAGGATTGATTTTTTACTGTAGTGTCTTAGTTATATTTTAAACTTGTATCATAAGATAATTAAGAAATTAAATTTTTTGTATATATCAGGTTTTAAAAGTGGAAAATATTTACACTTTATGTAAATTATAAAGATTAATAATACAGCAAAATGTGAAAATCGATATTTTTTTAATTTTGTTACCTTCTGGGTCCCTTGAAAATATATTAACTGAATTTTATGAGTATAATGTCCATAAAACATTAATTCAACTTCACTGGCTTTAACTTAAATCTTTATAAATATCTCCTACATTAGAGTTGAACGATATCCAATACTTCGGACATTTCGCTAGTTATACTCACATAATTTCCTTCGTTTTGCTATAATTTGGAGATATAACTCTCCTAGTAGAAAATCAATTATTAAATTGAAAATGAATGGTAGTTAGAATTAAATATTACATTTTAAAAAAAGCCACGGCTTTACAATGTTGTTTAAGAGTCTAAATGAGCATATTCTAAAAATGAGTGAATTATGGTCCTGATAGCCATATTGTTAGGTCGGCTCTTCGTTAGATGTATTTTTTTCAAACAGGGTATGATAATAACAGGGTATTAAACTAATACGATAACACCGTCTCCAAAAATTAACTTTATTTGCATATAATCGAGAGTTCATTAATCTTTTTTCCCCAAAACGTCTGATCCATACGTGACACAACCTTTTAATGTCTTGTATGTTTGTTAAATTTTGTTAAATTTTAAAACGTTAATATTCATTATAGAAGTCTGATGTTGACAATATATGAACAACCTTTTGTAAAGAATTAAATAAAAACAAATAATGTGAAATTTTCTTATGTTTTTAAATTAAGCCAACTAAAAATTGGATTATATATTGATTTATATAAAATATATTCAATATCATCATTATCTTCTAAAATGCCCTGGTTGTAAGCAAAATGCTTAAAGTTCTTCTCGTTTCCAACAGTCACTCCCGTATTTATATAATTTTGGATTATTTTCTTAGAGTTTTGCCAACAAAACTCATTACTTATCTTAACATAACTCATAATGTTTCCGTAGAGACTATTCATTACCTTTATCAAGGCAGGAGATAACTTTCTTTTTTTGGAAGTTCATACAATTTATCGGAGTTATCGTTCGCCCTCCGTAACAATACAAATTAAGTGTAATTCTCTGAGCGTTAAGATTTTATTTTCAATAAGCTATTTAATATAGAATATATTATACTAGACGGTACCCGGCGCTTAGCTGCTAATTGTGGAAATATCGTTTGAAATTGTAAAGAGTTGTCTTGTTTAATTGGGAATTATAGAAAGAAATATATTTATTTTCTTGTCGGTAATTAATAGAAAAAGCCACGGGTAGGGGTATTTATTACAATCAGCCAGAAATCCCAAGTCGTAATCCAAAATACGAGCCAAGTCACAGAAATTCCAATAGATGTCCCAAAACGTCGGACAATCGTTACCGTTCACCAGAAGTGTTACGCATGGAAGGGAGTGCGAAAAGTTTCGTCGGCCTAAGCATAGCAGACCAAGCAATCAAGTTCCAAGTGGATACAGGCTCTCCAGTAACATTATTCAACTTGAGTACATACAGGAAGATAGGTGCACCACAATGTTGTAAGTCCAGTCAGATATTGTGTTCTTTTGTTAAAGTTATAATTGAGACTAAAGGGTCGTTCAAGAAGAAGCTAAGAACAAAGAAGTAGTGACAAAGATCTTTGTTACTGTTTTTTACAGTGCAACGTCATGGGAACGGACGCCTTCAGAGCTTTCCAGATCAAGATTGAAGATCAAGTGAACTTTGTGACAAAGTCGTGCTGTTCGAAGAAACTGAAACATTAGTTGAGAATTTTTCTGTTCTATTGCAGGAGAAGCAGAAGGTTTCGAGGCACATATACAGTTGAAGAATGGTGCCAACCGCAGGTACTGCAAGGCGCGGCCCATATCCCTAACACTTCGGGAGCAAGTAAACAAGGAGCTGATAAGACTACAAAGCTTAGGCATTATTACACCAGTTAAAACAAGCGCTTGGGCTACGCCGCTTGTGGTGGTAAAGAAAGCTGATGTGGGTATACGGCTGTATGGAGATTGTTGGGGCTGCGAAATATTTTTTAGATAAATTAGGAGAGTATCAGCTAAACCTACAACGAACATTGTCTTTTCAATCGAAATTTTTCATCTGACGAGAGTTCTGGAAAATAAACGATACATAATTGACAAAGATTGTTACTTTGCAGAAATAACCAATGAGTATTGGAGAGTTTGTTATGGTTACCTGTGTCCAGACGAAATTAAACGTTTTCACTACAAATTACACGTTTTACTGTACGTTAGATTGCAGAAAGGTGCTGGGAATTGCCTGGCAGCGCCCCGAATCGAACTTTGAATGCGCCCAACACACTTCACTTTAGCAAACTGCTCGCGGCTCTTCTGACTTTCATGACAATGCGAGCTCGCTGTGTCTAACGCTGAAACAGACGGAGGCGAGGACCGAGAAATCTGGCGGCATCGATGATGTAACAGTTAGCGTATCGGACTGATATCCAAGTTGGCGGGTTCAAACCCGATTGGAACCGTAGATTTTTAAGGGCGAAAAATCCTTCGTACGCCTTCCTTCGGAGGGGAAGTAAAGTCGGATGTCCCATGTTACTAGATTTACTTGCATGTAAAAGATCCTCAAGCCTAAATGACGCCTCTGAGCTAAATTCAAATCGCCTGTTTCTCGCCCAAGAAATACCTCCTTTCTCTCCTAGTTGGTGAAAGGAGCGTAGTGAAATTTGCGTGGTCAGACGGAAGAGCGAGCCTGATGGCCCGAGTCTCACCACGTAAAATAAGGCATCAATTCAATTTAACTCACTGCGTCTAACGTTGAAAGAGCTGGATTCCGATAATCTGACAATGTGTACATATTTCGTCGCGCAATGTGTACATCTTTCCCGGGAGCTGATGCGATCTATTGGTGACACTCCAAACTAACCGGAAGTAGTTGACAATCGACGTCAAAGAACTTTTTACGAAATAAAGGAGTACTTGGTTAACAGGCAAGAAATTCGCGCGGCTTTTTTTAGCATAATTAGACCTCCTGAGCGTGAAGTGTGAAATGTATGATCTTTTCTTTTGAAATACCTTCAAAGAGTATCGAAATTGATCTGTTTGAGGCGTGGCGCCAAATT